GTCCAAAAGTCTATGGTTTCCGAGTACACGTTGTGGAACACGTTGGGGTCGCGAATGTTCAGACATTTGTTGCGCACAGAGGCGAGTGAAATGCAATTGTTGTTCACGGCGTCGACAGTGCGACACAGGAGCGCGTATAGTTCGACGGCGGCCTCGACGGCGGCCACAGCCGCACGGACGGTTTCGCACTCCCTCCTGTCTTGGTAGTAGCCCACGGTCCGCAGGTCGACACGCGAGCAGTCGCGGCTATCTGTCGTCACTCCGATGTAACACTACCATATAGCGGAGGCTGCTTTGCAGGGGCACGGGCAGTCTTGGTCAAACATTTGCCTGTTGTAGACCACGGCGGAACCTCGGACGTAAACGGTCGGCTTGTCATCGGTCGGCAGCTGCTCGATGCGGCACTTTGAACAGGGCCGGTTGTATTTACGACAGTCGGTACAACTCGACATTGTGTTTGCACGACTTGGACCGGGGTTCGGCTCTTATAAGCCATACGGTTGGGATCAAGGGAAACAAACGGTCGGTCGAGACCGGGGAAAAACAACGGTCGGTAAACTAACGGTCGGTCGGGACCTGGAAAAACAACCGTTGGGAAACTAACGGTCGGTTGGGAACAAGGGAAAACAACGGTCGGTCGGGGCTTGTGTGTTTGAGTATGTATATATAAACAAATCGGTGGACGATTCTGATTTCACACGTGGCCATCGCGCAACCAAGAGAAGTTTAGCTACAATAACACAAATAAGGGTAAAGTCGCCTCACCACCGTGAGGCACTGAGTCATCTTAAGCCCAACCCCGAGGGTTTGCATCCGATCGCGTATATCCTGCAGCAGCTCTTCTGACCGAATCCTCACTTCACGTAAAGCTGTTGCGTCGTCACCGGCCTCGGGGAATTTCGTTGCGTTGACCGCGGCAATCACTTCTTCATGACGATCCCGACGTCGGATCGCATTATTGCAGAGGACTCAGGAAGCTGTGGCTTACGCAGACGGTGCCTTCGCGAACCACTTTGTCCGCGTGTTCATGTGGAGAACGACACCATGTCTACACTCGCCGTTGACGTCAGTGGAACAACGGTACAGGAGTCTGTGTGTTACAGTGTCGTGACGGACAAGTACGCGGTCACAAAAATACACGTCAGGACCACCGCGCATGCTCGAATGAAGTCGGCCCATCATCGTCCAACTTCGGTCTCTATCGTAGTTCGATTCTGTTTAAGAAACAAAAGCAAGCAAACAAGAACGTTAAAGACCGATGACACTGATGTTTTTTAAAACAAAGAAAAAACCCACGGACTGCAGACTATATACACTCACGGCTATGGCGTATTGAGCGGTGTCCATCGCAGCGGCTGGGTCTGTGGGTAGTCAGAATCCAAGTATACCCTCTCTCAAATACGTTGTTCTGTCAAAGCTCAAACTGATCGCTTCACACGCCGTTTTAGATTCATTATTTGGAACCCGATACCCCCAGGCCCGTCGGTCGGGACGTGTGGGATAAAGAAAAAGGTGTAACGTTGTCCATGTTCGACCCAAGTAAAACGTGAGACGTTTTTTTTTTTTTTTTTTAATTCAGAGACCGTGTTATGTTTACAATAGCACACCCACACCCCTTACCAACACCGCTTAACGGTGTAAAATATCCACTGAATATATGCGTACCTAGTATCAATCCGATGTGATAAGGGGCCATGGGGCCATTACAATATGTGATTGTATAAAAACATTCTATCAAATGTGATGAACAAGATTCTTTTATTCAAACATGAACAACACATTAAATGCAGCTTTCGCTTTCATTCAACAACATCACCAATGCAGAGTCTGTGGCTTTCTGTAAACAATAAAGCGCCGCGCGTTCAATCTTCGTCACCACGCGGGAGCCATCAACTCGGCGCTGTGAACCAGCGTCTCGACGGGTCCAAATTTCCGCCAGAGAACAACCTCCCCGTACTCGGCGGGTACGTTGGTGCTGATTCCCGTGAACTGATCCTTGAGCAACAAGTCAATCCCGGATCCGACGTGGATTCTCACTTGAGTGTAAAACGTGGGTTCCGGGTCTGTCGCGTCCCCCGTCCAAGCGTCAGTTTGCAAATGTCCTCTATCAGAGACTGAGACCTCACCCTAACCCTAACCCTCACGCCGATGCACATTCTTTTCCGTGTAGTAACCATGTGCTCTGTACGATAGTGACAGGGAAAGCAACCGTGGTATTAACCGAACCCAAGGCCCGCATGGCTGCATTGGCCATGTTGTTGTTGAGTATGTGCAGACGCTTCATATCGTCGTAGTATTGTGCCGATGACTGGAAACCGAGAAACGCGGAACCGCCCAACGTCCACATCTCGACTTGGTCGAGCGGCAAAGAATTAGCCACCGAGCTCACGGTGTGCTCGGCATATTCGACTTGAGTCAGCGTCATCACCAAAATGTCCACGGCCATCATGGGCATGCTCGCCGCGCCGAGCGACTCGAATACCACTTCCATCAACTGCATGGACGAACGGCCGAGCCAGTAATAGTCCTGAAAGCTGTGGTGTCCGCCGGCCACGTTGCGCACGCTCTGGGCGAAGAAGAACACGTTGGCCGCGAACCCAGCGGCGCGCATCACGGGGTTGTCCGAAAGCAGGGCCAGTTTTTGACCCAACTCGGCCGTCTCGGCGTGCTTCATCAGCTTGGCGGCCAGCAGACCTTTGATGCCGTTCACCAGGTCGATCGAGGCGAAGGTCTTGACAAACGGGTCATCTGACACGAGAATGTGCACGCTCATGGCCATTCCGTACGCGCGCGCGCCCGTGACATAAAATTTCACGGCCTCTTGCGACGGACCGTGTCACATAGCAGCGCGGGCGTACGCGCGAGCCAGCGTCTTCGTTTCGCGTAGGTGTTCAGAAGGCAAGGCATCGTACGCCTCAGCAGTGGCCGCCACCAGGGCTTCCCGCGCCCCGGGATGATCCAAGATGCCTTTCAGCTGCTCTCGAGGTCTTTCACGGCGCACTGCGTTTGCAAATCAGAGCGTCGACCAAACCTCTGGGCGCCGTAAACTTTACCGTTTGCAGGACATTTTCACGTAACTTTTCCGTTAGGGCGACCCGTAATTCGCCTAACCGATTCGCCAGCCTCACCTTATATTTGCCTTGATAGACAAACTCGCCGTTGGTCTCCATGGTGTACTCGTTCTCGTTCGTCAGAGAACACGTACCACGGCGACGGCAAGACCCACCGAAGCCACATGCGCCCATCTGCTTCGCCAGCGCTGTGGCCTCGGCAATTAGCTCATGATCTGGATCGTCTAGCGATCTTATATATTGCTCTCGCCAGGTATACACGGGAACATCATAAATCATGTCTTTTGGGTTATTAGAGCCGTACCAATTTCGTTCGTCCCATCTACTAATCACACCTACCCATCTGGGATCGAGACCGTTGTGCTCTATGAACTCCTTCCTAACTTCATCACCTCCCTCTATTGTAACTGATCATAGGGTGTGTGAGAAAGATCGCCCGTCATCTTCGGCCCGACCCGCTTGTGTCTGCATAGCGGACTCCTTTGCCTGCTGCACCCTATAAAACTTGTCAGCTTCAACTTGCAAAGCGGCATCTAGCGTTTGTAGCCCCAGTACCCCGTGTACCAATGTTTTAGATGATCAAACGAGAGAACCTCCTCGTGGGCTTATAGTCGCTGTAGACTTGAGTACCTTTGTAGAACAACGTGTGCGTGTGCTCGTCAAGTGTAAATCTAGAGCTGGGTGCAAATTTATCTGACGTGACAACGTCTTATAACACGTACGACTCTCCGCTTTCAACGTCAGTGACAAATGCGGTTTTATAGTCCTGCATAAGAATATTGGAGCGTTGTCATGTGAAAGCTTGTTCCTTGTGCGCTTGCGCCGATTTTAACATAAAGCAAGTCGGAGTTGAACTGGGCGAGCTCGGGTACCACGTCTCCACTAGCGACAAGCTCAGGATCTAAAAACGCAAGCTTACGGGCTACTCCATATTCCACGCGTTTTGTGTCACCGATAAGCACGGCCTTAAAAGGCGAGCCTTCGGATAACCGCGCTGTTTGTTTGGGTGTGGGCGCTTCCAAGCGTACGTCCGTGTCGTGGTACACAAGTCCGCCGGTGGCGGCGTCGTGATACGCGCCAAACGCCACGTAGCGAAGCACGTCCGCGGCCACCGCGTACAATTTTTTCGACTTGAGGAACTCGTAGTACGCCAACATCTCGTTATATAGCCCGTCCACACGCTCGTGCGCTTCGGTTTGAACGCGGACTTGACTGCGGCGGGACACCGCTCAAAAACGTCCGTGTCCAGATCCACGAAACGCGACTCCAAACCCCTCTCTTCCAGGTACTGTTTCGTCTCCGCGTCCGCCACGATCTTGTAGCCGGGCATCGTCTCGGCGTGCTTCTTGATGCTGTCCGCGTGTTGGGCGACGTTGTCGCAACAACCTACCCACACGGTAAAATATAACAGTTCGGGTTTAGGAGCTCCGCCGGCCTCGACCACGCGGGTTGGCACTTCTTTGGCGGACGCGCCGGGTTTGGCTCCGGTCGACGACGAGTTGCCCTGATTCGAAGTAGGGTTGTGACCGCAGCACAACGATCCTAGTATAAGGCCGAGTAGTGCGATCTCCGTCGCCCAGGTCGAGGCGTACGCCACAAAACCTCCCCGCCGTTCGGGTTTCGCAGAGCTACCCATCGCGCGCTTTAATCGAAACCCTCTTCACAAATTTAGAAATAAAGTGCTCCGCGTGAGCGTATATATACACACGGCGCAAACCACATGCAACGTGGGCATCCGTCGGTCGGGCCGGAGTGTCCCACGGTCGCTCCGGCGTGGTGGGGGGTGTCGCTCCATCGGTCAGGTCGTCGCGTCGACGTTGAGATTAATCACGCGCATACGTTGCTTTCGATTAAACAAAGGGGGCATCTTTATTTAACAAACACACAAGGGGGAAAAAAAAACTTTACACATTTACATTTGGGAACTTTTCAATTGCGTCCGGTCGAGCCAAAGCCTCTGGCGCCGCGGTTCATTTCGGCGAGCGTCTGTTCCTCCACCAGGTCCGGGTAACAGATCTTCTCACAAACCAACTGAGCGACTCTGTCACCCCTCTTCACGTCAAACGTCGCCTTGCCGAAGTTAAAGAGTACAATGCTCACGTTTCCCCTGTAGTCTTCGTCTACGATGCCGGCGCCAACGTCGATGAAGTGTTTGGCCGCCAGACCCGATCTCAGTGCCACTCGCCCGTAGTATCCGCGAGAAACGGCGATCTGAATATCGGTCTTCACCACGGCCTTGTCCATGGCTCCAACCGTGCAATCGTGGGCGCTATAAAGATCGTATCCCGTGTCTCTGGTGAAACCGCGCGTGGGCGGGACGGCGTGCTCGGAAATTTTAGCGAACCTAAGCACGGGCTTGTCTCTTTCACGCTCCATTTTGACCGCGTTGATCGGGGAAAGCGCAGACGCGTCGTCTAAGGCGGATGCGTTGGACGAACCCGCTGGGTTTTGTAAGAGCCTTTACCGGATAAACCGCACCCGTCGGACGGGTCGGCGATGAGATTACTCACACGAAACGCGCCAACGCGGCCGGTTTGCGCTGCGACGGATGCGTCCGCCATGACACAGGCGCCGGCGTGTTTCTGGCCGCGCTCGGAAACCGTAATTGCTATTCGCGAGTGTGTCGTGTACGCCGCCGCGATTGTAATACCCATGGCGGTCGCGATCGCCTTCGCCTCGCGTAGCCGTTTGGGTGGGTCGCTGTTGTTTATTCTGTACATCGCCACCTCGTACGCTTACGGGCCTACTACACTACATAAGATTGCGACTTTTGTGTTTGTCGCGGAAAATACCGTAACCCAAACCCACTTGAGCGGGGGGTTGTCGCTTCTTATTTTATGCGCCGCCGTGACGCGCATCTGTGGACTAACCATACAGGAATGTATCCCTATAACCGCATTAGTTGCGAAACAGGTGGGCTTCGGCACACGCTCATTTCGAGGCGACACGTAACGCGCAGATACCACACACGTGGTTTAGTTGAGTTGCCCTTGAATATCAAATCAATCGTAGCAATCCAACGGATAGAATACTAACAAGAAGAAAGTGCGCGACTGTTGTCGGAACAACCTCAAGATGTTGTGTTATAAATGCGGCTCTCTCGATCCTCAACGCGAGCAACGCCAATTGCTCGTGCGGTCTGCGGGTAACAACGACTGGCCGTGGTGGTCCGCGGACACGAGGCCGTATTTACCGGCTTGTTATTTGCAAAACGGAGCCGAATTGGACACCCGTTCAGCTCGCTCGCCGATCCTTGTAACCGACAACGCGTCGCCTTCTATTATGTTTCGGAACAAGGTTCCGATGATAGAAGTCAACGAGCCCATGGACACGGAGTAAAAGAGGAAAGTCGATCGAAACGACACAATTTGTGAATATTTTGTTGCTGGTCCACGAAAGACGGCGCAAAATAAACTCGACCGCGCGTCGATGAAACCTCGACTCGTAATGCGCAAACCAGACGGCGTGCTCGCCGACAACGGAACCGCATATAACATGTGCGTTGTCACGGTTGGATGAAATGCCGAGATGGCGCATATGTAACGCGCGTCCTGGACGAAATGCATAGCGGGTATTTTTTTTTTATTTTCTTGTACAACCGACCACACCCCGCGACCTCTTATAAGAAGACGCGACAAAAGCCCGATTCCGGCACGGTCCGATCTAACATGGGTGAATTACAATTGATATTGGGGCCGATGTTTTCCGGGAAAACCACCGAGCTCCTCAGAAGACTACGCGTGTAACACGCTTCCAAGAAACGATGTCTCGTGATCAAACACGCAAAGGATCGCCGATATTCCGACTCTCACGTAGCAACGCACGACCTCGATACGATAAAAGCTACGACGACCATCTCGCATCTGGTCGAGGCCGAGCGCGAGGCGGCCGAGTATTCTGTGATCGGAATCGACGAGTCAAGTCAAGTCAAGTCAAGTCAAGTCCGATTTATTTATAGAGCACATTTAAAACAGAAACTGTTACCAAAGTGCTTAACAAAAATATCACAACATCAGATAAAAGGCAGCAAGATATATTTATAGCACATGGAATAAAAATATAAAACCAAAAACAATTAGAAACAATGAAATACTAAATCAGATCACGATGTGTCAAATGTCAAGGAAATAATAACAAAAAGCATAAACTCAGTCAGAAACAATGAAATACTAAATCAGATCAGATGACCTTGTGTTAAATAGGAATAATAACAAAAGCATAAACAGAATCAGCATCAAAGAAAAACCAGATCTAAATCCAATCACCCTGTGTTAAATGTCACTGAGTATAAATGTGTTTTTAGGAGAGATTTAAAAGCAGAGAGTGAGGTGGCATGTCGAATGCTGATGGGCAGATTGTTCCAAAGTTTAGGGCCCACGTCTGAGAACGCTCGATCTCCTCTGAGCTTCAGCCGGGTTTTTGGTACGGCCAAAAGCAGCTGGTCTGATGATCTCAAAGCCCGAGAAGGAGTATAAGGATGAAGAAGTTCGGAGAGGTATGATGGTGCAAGGCCGTTAATGCACTTGAATGTCAGCAGGAGAATTTTAAAATCAACTCTGACCCGTACAGGAAGCCAGTGAAGGGAGGAGAGAACCGGAGTAATGTGCTCAAACCTGTGAGTTCCTGTTAAAAGCCGAGCTGCAGCATTTTGTACGAGCTGGAGACGTGAGAGTGAAGCCTGACTAACCCCAACATAAAGCGAAATACAGTAGTCCAGCCGGGTTGTAATAAATGCATGGACTACTTTTTCAAGGTCGGATCTGGACAGAACGGACTTAAGCTTTGCTATCTGCCTTAACTGAAAGAAGCTTTTTTGTAGAACAGAGTTGATCTGTTTATTAAACTTAAAGTCAGAGTCTAACACTACCCCGAGATTGGTAACTGACTGCTTTAGATGAGGCTGAAGGGAGTGCAGGTTTACAGGATCAGTGACAGTGGTAGAGCTTGGGTTAAACACAATGACCTCAGTCTTCTGATCATTAAAACTCAAGAAGTTTGCAGCCATCCAAGTCTTGATGTCATCAAGACATTTTAGCAAAGGGAGGATGGAGCAAGAACTGTTTGGTTTTAAAGGTAGATAGATCTGAGAGTCATCGGCGTAACAGTGAAACGAAATACCATGTTTCCTCAGGATTGACCCCAAGGGGAGCAGATACAATGAAAACAGAAGGGGTCCAAGAATGGAGCCTTGTGGGACCCCACAGGAAAGAGGGACAGAAGCAGATAAATGATTGCCAAAGTTAACACAAAAACTCCTGTCACCCAGATAAGAACGGAACCATTCTAGCGCCACCCCTGTAATCCCAACCCAGTGTACTAGCCGTGACATAAGGATGCTGTGATCAACAGTGTCAAATGCAGCGGTAAGGTCGAGGAGTACCAGGATCACAGACTGACCAGAGTCATTCGCTAGCAGAATGTCATTACAGACCCTTACTAAAGCTGTCTCGGTGCTGTGCAGTTGTTTAAATCCTGACTGAAAAATCTCAAAAATTCCATTTACATTCAAAAACTTGGTTAGTTGACTAAAAACTATTTTCTCCAAGATTTTAGAAAGAAATGGAAGTTTTGAGATTGGCCTGAAGTTTGAACAAGCTGCAGGGTCAAGTCCGGGTTTTTAATTAATGGAGTTACCACTGCATGCTTTAAAACATCAGGGACCACACCTGTAGCCAAACTGCTGTTAATAATGACAAGAACAGAGGGTCCAGTTGACGGTAGAACCTGTTTAAAAAATGCAGCAGGGATGAGATCAGCAGGGGAGCCTGAGGGCTTCATGTGATCAACTTGAAGCCCTCAAATAACAACTCATTTAAAAATGAGAGTGAGATGGGGTCAAAGTGACTGAAGACTGCTGAGCAGGGGACAAGAATTGAAGGGTCGGCTGTGGAGTGTGGAATTGATGACCTAATCGACTCAACCTTTTCAAGAAAATGCCTGACAAACTTATTACAGGTGTCGACAGAGGCCTCAATGGTGGCAGACTGAGGCACGTTTAGAATGGTGTTAATGGTGCTGAAAAGAACGCGGGGGTTGTGACTGTTTGAGTTGATAATTTTTGAGAAATATTTGTTTTTCTCCTGTTTAACGGTGGTCTGATACGCTTTCCAACATGTTTTTAACATCTCAAAAGACACCTGAAGTTTATCTTTTTTCCATCGACGTTCAGCTCTTCTGCACGAGGCACAATTTTTTCCCGACGCGGTCGAATTCTGCGAGAATATGGCCAACGCGGGCAAGGTGGTGATCGTGGCGGCGTTGGACGGCACGTTCGAAAGAAAACCTTTTGGACGTGTACTGGATCTGGTCCTGTTAGCCGAAAGCGTCGTAAAGCTGTCTGCCATCTGCGCGCGGTGTCTTGGAAGCGCCGCGTTGTCTGGACGCATCGTCGCAGACACCGAAGTGGAACTGATCGGCGGCGCAGATATGTATCGGGCCTTGTGCAGAGCGTGTCACGCTTCGCGTCACGCGGTGTAGCGTACTGCTGCGGTCGTGATTACGTGCGAGGAGCGGCGGGCGAGAATGATCTCCGTTTGATTTTGTTTTGTCACCGTGCACACAAAGATAGCCGTCTGGGCTTTATTGTATTGTATTTGTTATTTTTCATAATAAACCAACTGTCACAAAAAGTGTTTTTTTTGGGGGGGAAAAGTTCATACCACGATGTACTAATTCACTAATGTGTAGATGTAGGATTCGCCATCAAAAAAATGCATGCTGTTCATAACTGTTGTTATTATGGCAATGACAATAAAGTTTACAATTATAATTACAATCAAAGTGAAAAACAGCTACCATATGTAAAATCTCTTGTAAGAAAATAAACAGAACACGGCGATTTAATCATACTGTTTATTGGCTCGCGTAAACAAACCATTTTGTGTGCACATTACACGCTCACGTTTAAATTGCGCACGGAGCTCGCGTGTGCCGCGCGACGGTGATCATGCCGCGTTGTATCGACTCATCAACCAGTTTGGGTCCACGTTCATTTTGTAGGCCAACAATGACGCTTGCTTGTAAACCTCAAAGGACGCCAGAATCATGTACAGAACCATACGCGTTATCCAAGACAAGGTCTCGTCTTGTGGTTGATACAGTTCGCGGGCCCGCAACAGGTCTCGCGTAATCCCCCGTAGCCTGTGCGGCTCCAAACGGCTTATGAGTTTATCAAGCTGTTTCCTGCAGCGTTCTTTGTTCTTCTTCACGTCCGCAGTGCACGAATGATCCTTTGGTAACTGAGATTTTTCACAACAGCCGCGACACTCGAGTATCATGCCTTGTAGCGTCAAAACTTCCAGTAAGAGAACGACGATTACGCTTACGGCTTTCACCGCATTGTCCCGGTCGACGCAGCTCGACAGCGGATGCGTCCACGTATCCAGCTCGCGCGGGTAGTTGGTATACGCGTGCCGTACACGAACGCCGTCCACCTGGGGAGACACATGTTTGAGATGCGCGTAGAATTCGACCGAGCTCGTCAAAGCACAAATGATCGTGCACGCGATATGTGCCACTTCATGGTCGGAGGCCGATAGCGATCGCCTTTGTAACGCGCACCAAGCGCCGGCTATTATCCCGGGCAATTTAAGGTCACGCCCAACAATTTTCACATTTTTGAGATGCTGATCCTTCCATCCCGTCTCGTGAGCGCACAGCTGGTTGCGAACCCGCGACTCGTGGCAACCGTCGCGAGTACAACATTCTTGGCTCGGCAGAT